TTTTTTTTTTTTTTTTTTTTAAGTCAGTTGTGGTTGTACGTTGTTATCTATACTGAAAATTTTATCTGTACCCAGAATTCAGTTTGTTATGCTAGATCACTGATAAATTTTTTGGACTACTAGTTGCGCAGAAGCCCAATTATAAATTTTGTTTGCGCATTTATAACTTTGTAGATAACTTATCAAATAAACTTCGGTGTAAGCGTTTGAACCACAGAGCAAAATTTATAAAAATTTCGTTTCACAAAAGTTGAAGTTTTTCCTGGATTATTAAAATATAATCTACTTTTCACTAAGCGGTTGTAAAAAAAAAATCCATTCCGTTTCTTCACGTGGCGCTTATCCTGAACGAGAAAAAATCCTTAAAAAAAATTTTGAAAAGGCAGTTTGGTGAAGGGGTAAAATTTGAAATCAAGTCATAACGTAAATATGGTTATATTTTTTGATCAGTTTATAAAGACATTAACATGAAAGACTAGTCATTCCATCCAAACATTTATATACACACCTATATATAAGGAAAACTATAAGCTGTCAAGAGAAAACCTGTGTGTATAAATATATACATATATATACGTGTACATTTTATATCGTTTACAAGATATATCTAATTCCTTAAATACTGTGAACACTGTTGTTGTTTGAACTTTTCAGCATCTATATAACGTACGACAAAAACATCACAAGAACACGCAATTACAACAACTAATCAACGCATTGATATTTGAATATTCTAAAAAATATTTAGTTTTATACTCTGAATATATTTTTATTCAGAAAACATTGAAATAAAGAACAGGTCTTTGGAAACTTAAAAAAAAACAAACTTTTTTTGTAGTGAGAATAAAAAAACTATGGTCACCAAACAACTCTGCACTGGATTTACATCGTTCGTTTGCATGATATATACACTTTTATACAAACAATGCTGTTCTTTTGTGGATTTTCGAGAATAAACTAGACACGTGATCATTCTTACGTCACTTTATATCACAGTTAACCTTATAACTAGTCTTCCTTCTTTTTTTTTTTGTCCCACTTCACACATTCATGGTGTAATATATTACACCGGTTTGTTTGGCTGGTTTCGATATCCCATGGGAGGGCGCCCTGTGATACACAGAGTCCGAAGAAACCTTTGGTGATGTACTAGCGCCTTCTGGTGTACCTCGTTCGCCTTTATAGGAAGAAACCAACCTTTCTTTCCTCACTGGTTTGCTATCTTGGTTGTAAGCCGCAACGCCGTTTTGAGACAATTCGGTAAACGTATTTTCTTGAAACTTCCGAGTATGTGGCTGGGATACAAGATTACTGGTACTACCACGCACGTGGTTATACCTTACTGGATTTGGTGGTAGACTACTATACAACTTAGGAATCAGTTCTAGTCCATTTATTCTTTCCTCGTGTTTAACATTTAACAGAATCACCCCTGGCACTCGTCTTTGTGCTGATTGGCTTGCACTTTCAACATCCATATATGGCCAGGTTACATGACTGCCAGTGTGTTTTGGATTGGCTAATTTAGGTGGTTGAAGTTGAAGCTGCATTTGTCTCAAAATTTCATTGGTGGAGCCAAAGCGGGGTCGAATCCCTCTGACCGACGGTCTCCGAGAAAATCCAAATGTGGAGTCTGAGTCTTCCTCTGATAAGCTATACCGTTTACGGAGCCGCTCAATCCTATTCAGATCTTGATTTACAAAGACTTCTAATTCATCTGATGTACCATTGATGAAGACACCCTTTTTAATACCTTGAGCCGACACTAGAGGGGGTACACGTGATTTATGGATGTCACAACTTACGCTCTCTTGTGATACTGTATAGGAGTGATTATTGCAATCTTTTATGGATGATTTCAGTTTGTTTTTCGCTAGTTTAGAACCTATTTTCCAATCGCGAAGGTCGTCAGGAATGACCAATGATGCTAACCTATTTTCCCGGCTAGAAAGATCTTCCCGCTCCTTTCCAAGTGACGATGGTTTCGTGTACAAACACTTTTGTACATTTAGTTGCCTCTTCTTCCTAAGAATGGCAGGGAGTAGTTGTTCTGTCTTTTTAAAATAGGGATCGTCTATTAAGTTCCAACTTCTCAATTGCTGGGGCACTGAGGATTCATAATGAAGATTCGATGAATGAAACATTTCAACGTGATCTTCTTCTTCGTTTTCGTTCACTTCTTCTTCTTCTTCGTTTTCGTTCACTTCTTCTTCGCTGTATTCCTTCGAGTTTACGGTTGTCAACCACCTAAGTTTTTCCACCAAAGAAATGTTAGAAGATGATTCCGAGTTACCTCTTTGGTTCATCCCACCACTAGATGGCGCAACTCGTTTCCGAACTTCAGCTTTCTTTTGTAAGCTTCGACGCAACGCACTTCTTTCTAAAGCCTGACGGATTTGAGAATTAGTTCTGTTGATCCCCTGACATTGTCTAGTGGTGTACTCTTCTGGACCTTTGTCATCACTGAGAGATGAAGAAGAGCCAGTTGATTTGCTGTCCTCGCTGTCTTGTGGAGAACTACAGACCAGAATCTCCCTTAGCTTGTCATTCATATGTTGGCCTAAAATCTGTCTCCGAAGTTCCTCGTAGCGTCGGAAGCTTTCACGAATACGTTCTTCATTGCGTTTACTTTCTTCTGAAGTCATCATGATGATGGTGTCTTGGGAAGAAACACTGGAGTCACTGTCCGTTTCCTGAACGGAGTTAAGTGGACTTAGCTGTACCCGCCAATCCTCATCTTCCTTTCTATGTTGGACCAGGTCCACACTGAGCTGACTCAGTGGAGGTGAGAGGCCGGGAAGCTGGCTCTCTGGTGCCGAAGGCATGGTAACAAACTCCGAATCTGCAGGCAAAGCGTCCTGCAATTTTGTTTGAGATCTGGAATCTAATGTTTCAATTAATTTGTCATGAGTGCTTAAGCTTTTAAAAGGCAAAGTACCAATACCTTGTAAGTATTCAATCTCACTACTAAAGATTCCCACATTTTCGTCTTTTCCCGCGTCTTTGTTTAAAAGATCACAAAGTGGTTCTCTACCCACGGAAACAGACTTCTCCTCATTGTCGCCTGTGATACTAACCACATCTGTACTTTTCACTAGTCCACTTAACGCTCGAGAGGCTCTACTTTCCCTACTTGACTCCTCTTTAACCTCATGGTTCCCATTAATCATCTCCGAATTATTCTCGTTTTTGGAAGCCAAAAATGAGGTCGCTTCTACGAGTGTTGAACCAGGTTCTCGATTTAAAAAAAATGACGTGGCAATGTCCAGTGTATCTCGATATTCACTTGGAGGTTTGAGATTCAACGAGTTTTGATACTGAGGCGGAGGTTCGTACACTAGACACGTATCATTAAGGAATGACTCTATTGGTTGTATAGTTACTTTCTGTGGTTTCGAAAACTCTTCCGAAAACACGGTCATAGTCTCACTAAACTTAACTCGCATCTTTTCACTTCTGGATCGATTAGAAGTTTTCTTTAACAACGACCTGGACATTTTAGGTTTTTGATCCGACTTGGAATTATTGTTTTCACTATTACATTTATCACCAGGAACTTTGCATTGTCTTACAACATTTTGAATAAGTTCTACTGAATTGTTCTCTACATTATACTCATCTTTAGTTACAAGATTACAAACAACGTCACTGGAAACAAACTGTTTTGACTCGTAATCTACTTCCGATGAATCATTTCTAGAAAACTGGCATGTAGATTTCCCCTTGTTTTCGTTGGAAGCACTCTTTGCCTTTACAATTTTTCGCCGACACTAACTGGTCATCGTCTGCACTCGTGTGGGTGGACAGTGACGGCAGAAACACGTTCCCAGTCTCTGGATCTATAACGTTCACTCTCCTCACATCTGGGTCAAGTTTCATAAATTCTGAGGACACTGTAATGTTATTCTCGCTCTCGCTGCAAGTATTTTTTCTATTAGAGTCAATTTTCGTTTTGACACAAGCAGTTGAACAATCGTCATTCAGCTCGTGCGCACTGATCACAAGCTCGTGAACTTGTGAAACACAACTAATGTTCCCAGAATCGGCTGTTTGCTGCTCCTCGTGCTCCGACATCCGATACGGCCCAGACTCGCATTCCCCGTGAGCTCGCGTGTCTCGTGAAGACCCAATACTAGCATCAGTAACAATAGACGCTGCGAAGCCTAACTCATTCTCTTCGGCGTGGTCGTCATGGAGGTTAGACTGCGAGTCCTGTCTAACGCCAGCACTGGGTGACGAAGCAGCAGCCTTCATCGATCTCTGGCCGCCCCCGCTAACTTTGCCGTTTAGAAACACTGATTCAATAATGGAAATAGGCTTTACAACAGTAACCTGCATGTCTCCCCCCTCCCCCCTCGTCGAGCATTTCGTGGGCGACGTCGTCGTCAGCCAATGTTAGGTTGTATCTCAAGCGACGTTTGCGACTGACGTTTCTTTTCGAAATTCATCAGTTTACGTGAAATGACAATAAGATTCAGATCCGTTATGACGAAATACCATTCTATTCAATAACATACTGAAGCGTTATTCAAACGTTAATATTCAAGCGTTAACCAAACGTTAACATTCAAAATAATCTGTGGGAGAATTTTTTTAGTCGTCCTGCTAGAACAAAAACATCTGTGTTTTCGAACATCGAAGCGATACATCTCAATAACAATAAGTCTTTTAACAACTTCCCAGGTCTCATTTCTGTCATTTTCTCCTTTCGGGATGATGTACAGTACACAGAGAACTGCATAGGAGAATTTCAGGTTTCTTTCTACTAATTAAATTATAATTTAATATAGTCATTAGTTTAATTAATTAAAAAAAAAAGACAGAAGGAAAGTCTAAGGCAAAAAGAATGTTCTGTTGTTACCAGAGTAAACCCCAGAGGGCGTTGTTAATTTTAATTAAAACAGCATAAATGGCAGTCTGTTAAACAGTACCCCCGATGATGAATTATTTCCTTAGTATTTTTTTTTTTGTCATTAGAATAACTACCAGATATAGATAGGGTAGAGCGCATTCAGAAACATGGCCGCTACAGTGGAACTCAGTTTTTGGTTGCCTTTCTTCGTTTTTTATTTATTTATTTGAGCAAGAAAAAGTACCCTACTATTTGTTTCCAAAAGCTTATTTTGCTCTTAACAATATTCTGAATAATAAAAAAATAAACTGGTGATTATCCTAAGAAATATCCTCGGAATTTTTTTTTTTTCTGTAGACACGTTACTTTCAGCAATTAAATAATCTGCAAACTAGGCTTTGAAAATGTCGTCAAAAAATGTATATTGTTGGTTTTCAAGAAAATCGTTTCCTTTGGCTTTTCAGGTAATGTTGCAAGATTTCTCTGAAATAAATACAAAAAATAAAAATTAGTTTACGATATGTAAAATAGTGAGCACATTAATTCTGACAAAAACTAACAACTTCTAAATGGATAACTCTCTAAAATTACGAGACAACTATTTTAAAAAGTCATAAACTTAGAAACAACAAACTTATCATTTACCATTGTATTTCGAGTAATCTAAAAACATCTGAAAAAAAAAAAAACGTTCTTAGAACCTTTGACCTATCACAGCGTGAGTTTAAGAACTTAATTCAGAAGCCCTAACCTCTCAGCTTGCGGGTAAAACAATGAATTTTAGGACCCTTGACCTCTCACCAAGTTGGTATTTAAAACAATCAAGTTTAGAAACTTAACATCATTTGAATTTGAAGCTTACGTTATTATATCATGAATATTTACTTTGATTTTGTAAACAATGGCCAGGTGTCGCCTGGAGGTTAGTGTGCTCAGACTGTGAAGCTGAAGATAAATAGTTCGCGATCTGTTGTCGCAAAAACTCATTCTGTACTTTTTTTTTTTTTTTGCGGGTGTGGGGGAGTGCGTGTACTATTCGGTCAGAGAAGAGTAGCCCAAGAATTGGCGGCGGGTGCTGTTATCTAGCTGCCCTTCCTTTAATGTATCAGTTCAAAATTAGAGACACTATACACTGTTAGTAAATACATTATTCAGTTGGTTTTAGTAGAAAGTCAGTATGTATAAAGTAAAATTATCTGGATTAGGGCACATACATACAAAAAAAATGCTTTGATAATTTGGTTTAAATAATCTAACGACTATGATTCAGATACTGATCTATAAACATATCTAAACAAAATGGTTATTTAATCTACTACTGTGTATAATAAAATTTAATATCATGTGTATGGATTTTTTTTTTTTTTACTCTTTCACTTCATACATAATATAAAGGTTGGATACCTAAAGACATCGATTGTATAGTGTACAAAGCATTGAGTATCTACATGTTACAGTCATCTAATGTTCATCTATTATTGGCCAGTAATTCCTGTTTCACCATGTACTGTGCCCGGCATGGCCAGTTGGATAAGGCGCTCGACTCACAATCTGAGGGTCGCGGGTTCGAATCCGCTTCCCACCAAACATGCTCGCCCTTTCAGCCGTGGGGGTATTATAATGTGACGGTCAATCTCACTATTCGTTGGTAAAAGAGTAGCCCAAGAGTTGGCGGTGGGTGGTGATGACTAGCTGCCTTCCCTCTAGTCTTACACTGCTAAATTAGGGACGGCTAGCGCAGATAGCCCTCGTGTAGCTTTGCGCGAAATTCCAAAACAAACAAACAAACAAACACCATGTACTTAAGTTTTTTTGAAGGGACGCTATACATTTGTAAGAAAGCTGACTTCAAGAGGTAATGATAACATCGTTTACATTAGAATTATGTTGTTTTTTAGCTTATGTAAAATATAGAAGACACAAATAGACTTTTCAATACCCCTACGACCTTCGTGGTACTTGTTTAGTATTCTACAAAAGGTTTGAATCCAATATACCAACCCGCTTTTGTTGTTGTAGGCTGGCAAGAGAATAATAATAATAAGAATTATAAACGGGCCGTTTTGAGCGGATGTTATTTGTAAGTCTAACATGCGTGCTTTTTTTGTGCATTTTAATATGTGTACAGTCTTAGCGGTCAATAGTAAAGGTTTTTAAAGTGTTGTTTGAACTGAATCTTTACTGTTTAAGGTACATTTTGCTCGAACGTTCTATTAGAGTTTTGTGCAATTCCTTGCGATCTCTATTATGAACACTATCGTGGTTCACGATAAATTTCAGTGTTTTGCCAAATTCTTAACGTACATTTTTTCCAGCTTAACCTTTTATTGATTTGTTAAGTTACACATTTACAATTACTGTTCTTTATACACCCATTATTATGAACATTCAATTTAAAATAATTTATTTCATAATTCAAAAAACCATATTTTATTTTCATTATATTAATAGATATGGTTTTAAAAAACAATGTCCTGCCGTTTACAAATAATTTTTAATTTGAAATTTTAACTTTTCTATATTAGCAGAGCTAAATTTTATTGGTGTATCATCAGCAAACGTAGTAATTTTACAATTTAAATCATGTAATTCATTTATATAAACTATAAAAAAATTATCTCAAGTACAGAACCTTGTGGAACATTCTAATTTATTCGTTATTTATTTTTACGCGATCACAAGACTTGGTGGTTAGGGCGCCCAATTTTGTAGACTGAGGGTCGCGGGTTCGAATCCTTGTTAGCAAACATGGTCGGTCTTTCAACCATGGACGCGTTATAATGTGACGGTCAATCCCAATATTCATTGTTAAAAGAGTAGCCCAAGAGTTGGCGGTGGGTGGTGTTGACTAGCTGCCTTCACTCTAAATTAGGGACGGCTAGGGCAGATAGCCCTCGTGTAGCTTTGCGCGAAATGTAAAACGAACCAATTTAATTTTTATAACCTGTGTTGGATCTACGCTGAACTTGACCCTCCTTGGTCCAAAACATGGATTGAATCCCGAAGAAGATGAAAGTTTTAATAACCGGTGTTAAATAAAACGGAAACCATTTTCAAGTAAGGCCTCTTATCCATAGAATTTTCGTTTTATTTAATAATATTTAATGTGACACTATCAAATGGCTTCTCTAAATCCAAATATACTGTATTTCTGGATGATTATCTAAGAAGTTATAAATATTTCGCGTGAAGTTTAATTGCACTTCTTATCTGGTAAACAATTTCTAATTCGTTTAATGTCTCACATATTGTAAAGCTGTATGATCTATAATTAACTGTTATAAGTATTTCATTTTATTCTAGATGTACACTTAAACTTCCTACATTTAACATTTCAATAATATCAATTTGTTTAACTTTTATGTTGGTAGGACAGGTCGGATATAGGAAAAACGTATTTCATCAGTGATTTGCCATTCGCTCTGGTTTGTTTGTTGTTAAGCCCAAATTTATACAAGGAGTTGTCTGTGCTGTGCCCACCACGGGTATCCAAACCCGGTTTCTAGCGTTGTAAGTTCGCAGACATACCGTTGTGTCATTTGCTATTGACTAGTTTGTTTGTTGTTAAGCCCAAAGTTATACAAGGAGTTGTCTGTGCTGTGCCCACCACGGGTATCCAAACCCGGTTTCTAGCGTTGTAAGTTCGCAGACATACCGTTGTGTCATTTGCT